TGACCAGGATGCACCGATCAGTTTCGGCGGCGAGTTTTGCAAACAAGCAAGGAAGTGTTTCAAGCTATCAACCGTCTTCTCATCGAGCTTCGCGCTATCGGACTTGTAGGCATGCGATGTAACGGCATTTAGACACAACTTGCTCGCTCTACCCCACAGCTGAGCCTTGGCGAATTGCATCCTGCCCCTCAGCGACAACGCTAAAGCTTGCGACATGGACCCCGCATCAAGAATCTGCTTTATGGTTTCAGACAGTTCGTTTACCCGTTTGGGAGTGTTTGAGAATTCTACCACACCAGCGCAAAGCGGTCTAATGACACTTCAATCCCAAGGGCCGAGAATCGAGAAGAGAAGTCCTGGTCTTTTCCTTCGCCAGACACTTCCCAGCCTAGGATGCGGAAGAAGGCATGAACCGCACCATTCAAAGGTTCGGCCTCGGCCCTCCTGGCAAAGGTTATGAAATCATCAAAGAACGACGACCACACCAACGAGAGGGCTTTGCACCCTAGCCACCACAAGGAGCGCGAAACTCGAAGGAAGCTGTACACTGACCTGCTTGCACCAAACGGCAAGGCGCGCATGGCAAAGATTTCTGGCTTTCTGTGCTCGGGATTAAAGCAAACCACAAAGGACGCCCAAAGGCTATTGCTGGACAAAGCAAGCTGCCTATACGCGGAGGCCAGATCAAAGGTCTTACCCAGCCAGTCGAAGGTCCGGCCAGACTTAGTCAGCTCAAGTGCCACTGAGGCAACAACATCCAGGGTGTGAAGCTTCGGCATACACTGAACCTGGACTGTGGAGTTTATTCCACTGGCCGACAGGTCATCAATCAGACGCACCTTGACCTTTTCACCGCTTGACTGCTTAATGCCAAAACGGCGACTGAGCACTGCCCCCCTCCGGGAGGTCATCGAAAGCAAAAGGCCCTACCAGCCACCCCGACTCGAGCTCTGCGATGGTCTCGCGGTACACCTCCGAGTCAATGAAATCATCACCACTGCTTCTTACCGAGTGAAAGATAGCTTGGTTCGAAGCGCCAGCGTTCCTTTTTAAGTTATCCACAGAACTAGAAGCTGGTCTAAAGTTTAGATCAAAACACGGCACGAAGGGCACTTGACCTGTCAGCTCTGTCCCATTCACAACTTCATCAACCACTTCCGGATCGGGGTACCCGAATTCCTCCAGCAGGGACTTCCAGAGGAGGATCCTTTTCGGTGCCAAGATCAACTGAGCGTGAGACGGAAGGCTCTTGTGCAGGGCGTCTTCTTGGGGCCTCAGTTCCCTTGCACGAGCTATCCACGACTTCAGCTTCTCAGACCTGGCTTGCATTAGGTCTTTAGGAGACAAGCGAACACTGTCTGCTAGGGCATCAGCTAGGACCTGCGGTAGGCAGTTAGCCAGATTTATGGGGTGACCGACCTGCACTGCATACTGCACAAAGGCTTCTGGGGAGCGGAAAATGCCAAAGGTACAGTAGTTTTGCGGCGTTTCACAATCCAAAGGCTGTGGACCAAATTCCCCGTTTAACCGGTTGAGGCTGGAACGAATGAGTTTGGAACCGGGTGGGACGCCTCTCCACTCTTCCTGAAGGACATTGTGCATAGGCACTGGAGGCGCCTCAGTGGGAGCAAGTGGTACCATGACAATTCGCGCAAACTCTGCAACCACTGGCGCGATTTTGGAAGCCTTCGGCTGTGTACCCACGATGGCACGAAGATGATGGTACGACAGGGACTGCGGTTGTCGAAGCTCACGCTGAGGCGGCTGCCATCCCTGTGCAACGGCGCATGAAGCAATAGCGAAGGCGATCTCATACGCTAATGGCAAGGGATAAGCCGTTTCTTCTTTTGTTGCAAAGACTGCTGCACCATCAACTAGCCCCCACGGCTTGTGCTTGTGCGAAGGGGATTCGCCAGGGCACAATTTGTTGATCTTAGCAAAGGCGGCATGATTGTGCGCTAGCGCTGTCTGTTTCGGTCTTTCGCTTCCATAAGCGCACGCCTGGTGCACTGTAAATGCAAGCAATTGCGTCAACGGCGCAAAGAAAGAAGTACGCCAGTACAACGAGTTCTTAGGGTTTTCAATGCACACAATCTTCTTATTTTTGCAACACCAAAGCGCAATGCTAGTTAGGAAGGCATACAAACAGTTCGCCGACGATACCTTGGCGAGATTTGTTCCTGAGAGCCCGGGCAACCCATCGGGGTGATGGGGTGATCTCAAGGGTGGAGGTCCCCGAACCACCTCACCTGACGGCAATCGCAAGGGAAGTTCACGTGCCCTACTGCAAGTGCCACACGGCGGGGCAGCAAAGATGCCGATGCAACTAGGTGACTTCACCCAAGAGAAACACAGTTCCTGCCCCGACTCTGACCGCAGGTCAGCAAGAACCACTTTGCCTGCGCTCTTCCCAAGAATGTGATCGACTCCAAATGAATCGCTCATACCAAGGTGCCTGAGGAAGGCGGTAACTCGCGCCGACCCTGCAAAGATTTCTATGGCAATTGGCTTTGAGTTTGGACAAACAGGCAAAACAGGACGGGCGTCATGCACATGCGAAAAATCAGGTTCAGCGCGAGGCTGATCGAAATCACTAGGTGACGTTCGCAACCTCTTGTTGGTCAAAGGGGCCCCCTCAGGGGGCGGCTGTTGCGTAGTGTCCCCATGCAACTGGTGTTCAGATTGCTGAGACAAAGGAAAACCGGTGTCGGCCTCGATACCTCCGAGCGAAGCTAAATCGAGTTCGGAAAAATCGACACATGAACTGTCAAAACATAGTCAACTGTGTGTGTCATGGTCCTTCATGCTGTGCTGGCCAAAGCACTTTGCACACACATGCTTGCCACGATCACATTTCGATGCAACACCTCCTGCCTTGCATGAGCTGATATTGAAATTGAAACAAATGGACTCGCCGCTTGGCAAAGCTCCGTGGCCACCGGCGTCCCGGATCTCTTTGGGGATGCGGGGCTCCCACTTCGATTTTCCTCTCCCTTTGCCTTTGGACCAAGGCTGGAAACGATAAGCACCTTTTCCTTTGCCTGTCTTTCCGGATCCATGCTCATCAGTGTGAGCAGCACCATAACCACCAGTCTGCTTTTGGGTCTTTGGCGGCTTTGG